ATACGGTTACTGAAGCAGAATGCTTCAGCAAGTCAGATGAAAGGACTGAATAATCATTGTTTGTATTATATCTCTCTATAGAACAGATATTTTATGGCACTTCAAATTCAAAAAAAAGACTGAATAATCATTGTTAGTATTATATCTCTCTCTAGAACAGATATTTTATGGCACTTCAAATTCACAATAAAAGAACTGACTATAGTTTTACGGTTGATAGACAAGGTTTATCAATTGAAAACTATAGTTTACGAAATATATACTATAGTTAACGAATTGCTAGCTACATTGTATACATGTAGATTTAATCTGTAAAATGAAATATGGAGATAATGAACAGCATTCAAGTTCAACAGTACATTCAAACAAAACAAAATCAGGAGCAGAGCAAACAAGGACCTCTAAACCATCAGATGGGATTAGATGCCATGGAGGAGTGAGCATCTCCTGCCGACCGGTCACCTGCCGTGTGCTCCTTGTCATGATCGGGAAAACGGAAAAACCCATAGACAATAAATTATTCAATGAGTAAATAATGGCCTAACAATTAGTATGACAAATAGTCAGCATTTGACTTATGATAGATTGTATTTGCTGACAAGGTCATTGTATAGACAATAGAACTTACGAAATGATGACTATAAACTAGACTGTTGATATTCTTGTTTCATCAACTTGTTTGTCAAAAGCTTGCCTCGTTTTAGAAATTGTTAGTGCGTAGAGCATGCTCTTGTGTATCGAATCAACTGAGAGACATAAATCCCATATGCAGGTGATAACCTATATTGCTACATAAGGAAAATAAGTTATTTTAACAGTGGTAAACATATTTCATGAACTAAAACACGTTTATTTGCATTCCAGTTAACGTTAATGATAAGGTTTTTAAAATAAATATAAATTTTCATTCGTAAATTATAATCAACATTCGTAATCATTATAGTTGAGATGATAATTAGGGGTTCATTAATGTGAAATTTGTTTTTATATAAACAATGTGTTACATTTTTCAATTATAGTTTGTTTGTTTTTTTTTTTTGTTTTTTTTTTTTGTCGAAATTCAGTCAACAGTAAAACTATATTATTTTATCATATAATTTATATTTTACATTGTAATTTTAATTTAGTTAACAGTACACGCATAAACTACATATACCGGTATATTTATCTGCCGTAAACCATAATTTACGGTCGTAGACTATAGTTTAAATGATCATTGCAAAGTCAAAATTGACAATCATTTGTTATCATACTGCAATTAGGATTCATCGTATCTTACGATTTACGGAATGAAGGCATTCTTTGCAATAGTCTAGAACGTAGGGGCACGAAATATAGTTTTGCAGAAATATGCACAATTTCGATACAAAATCAGATGATTGATTGATTGATTGTATGTTGTTTTACGTCCCATTCGAGAATTTTTCACTCATATAGAGACGTCACCATATACCTGTGAAGGGCTTCAAATTTTGACCTTTACTCGGCATTCAGGGCCATTGAGCAGTGAGGGATCTTTATCGTGCCAACGCCTGCCGTGACATGGGGCCTCGGTCTTTAAGGTTTCATCCGGAGAACCCGCAACTTTCACTTCAAAGTGCCGAGCGCTTGGCTAAGGAACAGTTGCTACCCATTTTTTTATCGACTCAGGTCAGTCGCAGCCGAGACTCGAACTCACGACCTTCGATTACGGAGAGAGCGCTCTACCGACTGAGCTACCGTGAACGGTTACAAAATCAGAGAGTACGTCTTTAATGAAAAAAAAAACATGTTCATCTTCTTTTGTAAATGTTATACCTGACATAGATGTAACCAAAAGTTTAAAATCGTAAATTATAATTTACAGTCGTTGAATATTGTTTACAGTTATTCAAAAATTAATGCACTTTTCTTTTTCACTGTCAAGTACACGTATAATTAAAACTTGCAAAACATATCAAGAAGTGTTTAAACTAGAGAGGAAAGTCTTCAACTAATACTGTGTGCCTTGTAAACTTTATAGTTTATAATTGATAAACCTAGTTTATCACCTGTGATTTTGTGGCGTGTAATTTTTTTAAATGTTATTTTTCAATATCTTCAGTTTGCCTGTTGCTAACGCCTCGTGATAATTTGCAAAGATTTGACTTATTTTCTGAACCAGACTTGTGCAATAAATGCAACTGAAATATAATTAGAAAGTTTTTAATAGCTTTTGGAGACACCTGTAGTAAAAATTAGACGTACTGTAAGCACTGCACTCACAAAATGAAACCCCTGCTCCCATATGAGTATAAAGGCAGAGTAGATTTTTTGCTGTAAGTAGGAGGTGTACATTGGCACAATATTGTAAAGATTCTGTGAAAGTCTCATTAAATTTTATTCATGAGTATTGAAGAAGTTGCAGATAAGAAATATGTACCCCCAATATTACAGTGTCTACGTTTTGTATGGGAAAACCAAATATTTGTCCGATTTAAACGAAAAATAGTAGGTGAACAATGGCAATATGTAATAAACATTTTGTGATAGTCTTATTAGAATTTATTCAGTGATATAGTAGGAGTTGCGTATAAGAGATGGGTTCCCTCAATTTTTTTAGAAAGAATGGCAGTGTCCATTTTTGCTGTGAGAAACTCTAAACATCTATTCGATTAAAATTTGAAATAAGAGGTGCGCAATGGCACTATGTAATAAAGATTCTGTGAAAGTCTCATTAAAGTTTATTCAGTTTTATAGAAGTTGCGGATAGAGATGGGCACACCCAAGTGTTTAAGACGGACAGAAGGACGTAAGGATCGTACGAATGTTCTGATGGATACCCCCATCACTATATACATGTAACCTGTAATTTTTCAAGCAGGGGTTTAATAACAGGAAATACAAGAAAACACAGTTTGACTTATGCATGCGTCAATCGTATCGTAATGTCAATAGAATAAAGAATCTGTCATTCTGGGGCTTCTTTGTCTTCTCTTTCACATAGACGGATCAATAACGTAAACAGAATTCTCTTTGCTGTCTGTAAGATTTTTGAAATATCCTCAACGACTCTTATTAACTTCGTTGTAATCGATTTAAAAGTTAATTTGTGTCTGAGATGTCGACACAAAACAACAGCATTAAGGACATTTTGCAAGAGAGATTCGCGTGCGATTGTATTTAGCAATGTCTTCCTTGAAATTTAATCAAATATTCTTCTACTTGGAAATTGATCGTACTGTACAAACATTTGAAACAAAAATATACACTGGGGACATTGGGCGTGTTTGTTCAATCAATGAGTGTAAACGAAAACAGCCTCTTTTTGCGCAAGGTGTCACTTTCAATTTACATTTAGTTTATCAATACCGTCCATTATATTGTGCATATTTTAAAAGCAAACAATTAAGTACCTAGGTTAAGCTGACTTTCCCTGACCCAAAGTTCTAGCCCTCCTTTAAAATTTGATAGTAATTATTGAAATCTTTTATTTAACTGGTTGGGTTCATTAATGCTGTGTTATCTGGACCTAAAGTGAAATTTCGAAAATTCTGTTGAAGGATTCTTTCTTCTTCTATCGTCTCTAAAATCTTTGCAAAAGCACCCATTGTCCTTGGTTAAAAGGTGTGTTCAAATCTCGTAGAGGAAGAAATTGTTACCACGTGTAAATGAAGTTTTTCCGTAGGAAAGTAGGTGAAATTGCTAGAAAATTAGCATGGTAACTGGTGTCAGGTAAATTAACCCACGCAGATCTTAGGGAGAACACTTAAAACATCTGGATTACGTTACATGTAACAAGGAATTGTATGTCTTCCATTCATAACTATCAGAAATATAGTGAGCTCCAAACAGACTTACTGTCTTAAATAACTTTATCGTATCCTATCTGGATATACTTTGTAATTATGTTTTTTTTATTCACAGTTTCTAAGTGTGTAAGAAAGAGAGAGATAGAGGGTTACGTAAACGATTCTTCCAATGTTCCCAAGTTTCGTCCACTGGGTTATTATTCTTATAAGTTATATACGTGTTTGTGTCTTTGAATATACATTAGTATAAAATAAATATGGAGATAACGAATAGTATTCAAGCTCAACATCCATTAAAACAATACAAATTGGGAGAAGAGCAAACAGGGACCTCCAAAAACATCAGAGTTGGGGTCAGGTGCCATGGAGGTGTGAGCATCCCCCCGCCGACAGGTCACACCCGCCGTATGCTCCTTGTCATGATCGGGAAAAAAATCGGGAAAATCTGTCTACAGTTCAGTGTGTAAAAAATTGCCAAACAATTAGTATGACATTTGACTAACTGATAGGTTGTATTTGCTGGCAAGGTCATTTTATCTTCCTCAAACAATAATTGTCAAAATTGTTCAATATAACTTGTATTAGTAATGCACATTTTCAAAGAAAGTAATCAATAGTTACAGTCTCATTTCCACAAAATGAACGACCATTCATGTATTTATCTACTTTTTTTTAATTCTATGTAAAAAAGAATTTATTGCTAGTATATTATGGTTAATTCGACACTGAAACCACTGAAGTAATGTATTTTTGGCAAATTTTAATGAGAAAGAAAAAAAATGGTCTCCCTTTCAGAATCATTGGAAAGCCGCTTCCAGCTGGCTTTAACTAGAGACTTAAAGGGCATTACTTTTCAAAGTTTCATTAAGATTTCTGGATTTATTAAGCATTAAGTATAGACCCCAATTTTTGTGTTATATGTGGTATTTAAACTTAAGACAGAGAAGCAATATTTTTATTTATATATTACTTAAATCTTGAAAATTTCAACGCTGAAAAATTAAAATAGCTTTTGGTGTTTTGATAGAACAGAAAAATTATGAAAAGTATATTTGAATTCTAGGTAGAATATCTAACAAAATTTCCCTTGATATCCTGCTATGATAAGAACTAAGAAAACGTTAACCAACTAAGTACTGACTTTAAACTGTTGGTGGACTGAATTTAAGTCTGATTTTACGAGTACTTTTCTGTTGTTGGACTGAATTAATTGAATCTTTGATTTTACAGGTACTTTTCTTTCTGGTCTCAGTGTCCTTTGTGGTTCCAGAATGAGGCTGAAGGACAACACGAAATCCAAGGTGGTGCTGGTCAACTGTTGGGTGGCCTTTCTTCAACTCTTTACTACAATCTTTCTTCTCTTGGGTTGGATATGGAGTATTGTCTGGGGGACATTATTCCTCTCCTACACAGGTATAGTTCACCATAGTGATCATTTAATTATTCACATGTTACACGACTGTCTGTATGTGGTTCCAGTTACACTCATATTAGAAAAGCGTTTATTTACTATTGGTGTGAAATGAAATCCCACCATATGATACATCAACGATGTGTTTTAATGTATCTATGAAAACGCACCCTTAAAATATCAAAAATTAAAATGAAATGTGTACATGGCAAATGATAAATAAATAAAATGAACATTTTTCTATTCAAACAAAAGGGTGCTGTAGGTGAATATTGATAAGATGCTTGTAAAATTAGATTTTTTTTCTTGGATTTTTATTGATTCGTGTTTAATGGAAAACTTGTAAACATGTACATTTTATGATTTTTTTTCCCCATAGATTAAGTTATATTAAGTTTCTTTATTCTACTTGATAAATCTAGTTCTGCAGCTATAAATGCTGGCGATGCTTAACGAATCGACATTGACCTACTTCCCGCATGTTGTTGTATATTACCTGTCATTGTCCATTACTAAATGGTGTACATATTTCTTTATCTTTCTGTAGATGAATTCTATAAGATCAAAGAAAAGGAGAAAGAAAAGAGTGACCCAGAAAAATTACAAGAGGAGCGTGTCAAACTCCCAGCTTCACCTGCAAAGCCACGTAACAACCCACAAACAAACTCATCACCCAAGCCTTCAACGAATGCGCAAGCTCAGAGAATCCCGGTGCAACAGATTCAACGTCAAATTCCCTCGACGTCATCATCTAGTGATCATCAAATCATAACTTTACAAGAACTTCCTAACATAAATAGTGAGGAGACAGTGGCTTCGGATCAACCTATAATGAATGCTAGAACTCGCCATCAAAAAATTCTTCGACGGCAAATGTCGGATCATGATTTATCTCCCTTTAATTTAACCCAAGAGCAGTTAGAGGACATTATAATCCACGCAGCCCCTGTTACCAGGGGTAATAGGATGACTATAGATGAAGCAAATGAAGTTAGTCAGGAGAAAGGATAAAAATACTGGGCTGTGGATCTTACCTTATTATGGTGCAATAACTTGAACTTTTCATGGAATGAATCGTACACATATATTTCTATTTACTGTAAATAATACGAAACAAATTATATATTAAATGCAAAACTTGTTTTGAATGCAAATTATTAAAGATTTTTTTTATGCCGCAACGGTTTCAACATTGCAGAAAAAACGAATAACCAAAGTTAGTGGTTTATGCATTTTTTTCTGCAGTGATAGCAACCATAGACAACAAGAGGCCCATGGGCCACAATGCTCACCTGAGTCAATATGGTCCTGCTGTTCTTCACCAGCAGAGTTTTTCTACTATATATTCCTATGTCCGTTCGAGAATTTTTCACTCATATTGAGATGTCACCATATACCGGTGAAGGACTTCAAATTTAGACCTTTACTCGACACTCAGGGCCATTGAGCAGTGAGGGTTCTTTAACATGCCAATGCCCACCGTGACACGGGGCCTCGGTTTTTAAGGTCTCATCCGAAGGACCCACAACTTTCACTTCAAAGTGCCGAGCGCTTGGCGAAGGAACAGTTGTTACCTATTTTTTATCGACTTAAGACAGTTGCGGCCTTGATTCGAACACACGACCTTCCGATCACGGAGCGAGCGCTCTACCGACTGAGCTACCGTGACGGCTATTCCTATGTAAGAATTTAAGAAAATTTTTAAAATATGTCACCAAATCTTCAGTAATTCTTAATTATCTCCCTTTGAAATAATAATGGCCTTTCATTTGAAGAAGATGAAAATGTGACAAGTTTTGGATAGCTACACAAATGGACGGACAGCTACACAGAAGGACGGACGATGAACAAAATATAATCAGTGAAGCTCATGAGCTTTTAGCTCAGGTGAGCTAAAAAAGGATATTTCATTATTTATATTTATTTCATTTATTTACATAAAGTCGATGAAAGAATGTATAAATATCGTATTATCGATCAGACCTGAATGGAAGAACCACGAAACATTTTACCATTAACATAAAATCATGTCAGTTTTTTTAATATACTAGTGTAATGCACATGTATCTAAAAATACACATGTCTAAACAATGATAATTTTCTTAAGAAAGTACTTTTTAACGAACCACACCCAAATGCATGTTACGTCTATACATGTGCTTTTTTCATCTTGCATCTCTAACACCAGAAAAAAATGGACCAAAGGTATTCATAAAACTTGCTTAGGATGCCATTAACCATATTGATACATCTCCATACAATTCACCATTTTTTTAGATTTCAAAGAAAAAAAAATAGAGACATATGAAAGTTATACTGGGTATGAATTATTCTTTATAATTACGTCACGATGTGTAATTGTTTTTCCTATCGGAGAACTTTACTTAAAATGGTGCAAACATTGATTAAATCGTGTTGGTATAATGATCATGCATAACTTAAACAAAATAAATAGTACATACAGTAAATCACACTTATAGTAGTAAAGTACCAGGGACGTACAATTTTGATTCGGAATGGTTTTACACGTAATTTGTTAAATCCTATGAGTTTATACGTTCTGAACTGAAGCGAATGAAAAACACTTCGATGTAAGCATAAATTCATTATAGGATTTTCGCCATGTAACCATGTTTTACTGTAGAATAAAAAAAATTGTACAATCATAAAAGGTTTTTAAAATCCTATTTCAAATCTTCAAAGATTCCGTCTACTTTAGGGAAAATGCTACCAGACAAAGCCTTGTAATTTTGAGTTTTCTGACAATCAAATTGAGACATAAATCTTATGTGCAACATCTTTATCAAAAGAATCTTTAAGTATTCGAAAATCTCGTGTATAAGGTATAAACTAGACTGTTAAATTCTCCTTTGTCAAGATCTTTCTTTTTCCATTGTTAGTCCTTCTTAATATCTTAATATTTGAAGTGTACTTAGTAATTTATAACCTTGACATTTCAAAAAGAAATGGCCAACATGTTCCTTGTGAATTTCCTCTTCGAATTCCAGTTTTCCTTTGATAAGAAATAATCTACACAAATAAGCAGCCAACTGAATTCGAATGCATGTAAAACTTGTGATGAATAACTTAAAGAGTACCTTAGAAACAATACAATGGCGCCATCCTTTTAAATTCGTGATTTATGTGTCATTTTAAAGTTGTCGTATGAAAGAATTACAAATGAGGCGATTATCCTCTTGTTACAATGTAGTTGCCACTCCCACTAGGCACATTGACATTACATAATTCCTTTTTAACCATTCTTCACAAAGACTATTACAGACAAGATAATGCAGTATGAATGAATTCTCAGCATCAGTACCTGATGATCAATTATCTTACGTAATAATTTATGATGATTTTATAAGAATGAAAATCAATTACATCAATCAGAATAAACCGGTCAAAAATGGACAAAGAAAACCTTCCATTGGTAATGTCAAACTCTGTAAAGGTCACCTAGGCGACATTGTCAGTTTTTGTTGAAGTCACAAAGAAGACATAATCAGCTTCTTTAAAGTCACCAAGGAGACATAGACAACCTCTGTAGACGTTACCATGGAGATGTAGTCAGCCTCTGTAGACGTCACAAAGGAGACATAGTCAGCCTCTGTATAAGTCACCAAGGAGACATAGTCAGCCTCTGTAGAAGTCGCAAAGAAGACATAGTCATTCTCTGTAGAAGTTACCAAGGAGACATAGTCAGCCTCTGTAGAAGTGGTCATCGTCAATCTCTACTGAGGACACGGAGGAGACATAGTCAACCTCTGCTGAGGTCGTCAAGGAGACAGTCAGTCTCTAAAGAGGTCACCATGGAAACATAGCCAGCCTCTATGGAGGTCACCAGGGAAACAAACTAAGCCTCTTTAGAGGTGGCCACCACGGACACATGGTCATCCTCTGTAGAGATCAATAGGGAGAAATAATCAGTCCATTAGAGGTGGTTATCAAGAAGACATATTCGGCCTCTGTAGAGGTCGCAAAGGAGACAAAGTTAGCCTCTTTAGAGGTGGTCACCAAGGAGACGTAGTCAGTCTCTGTAGAGGTCACCAAGGAGATAAAGTTAGCCTATGTGAAGGTGATCAAAGAGACATTTCAGTCTCTGTAGGAGTCACCATGGAGACACAGTCGTCTCTTTAGAGGTTACCCAGGAGACATAGTCAACATTTGTAGGTCATCAAGGAGACAGCATGGTCTTTGTTATTGTAAGGCAAATGCCCACCACATTGATTAAAGAATTTAAACATAATTTTCACACATGAAAAGTACTGAAATTGTTTGTAGCATACACCTTATCAATGATAATTCTAGATCTAAACTGTAAATAAATACATCAATAAAAAGTTGCATCAATTTCTTAAATCATGCAATTACAAACAGTTATACATGTATATCTCACAGGTGCTTGAGGACAGGAACCCCCCCCCCCCCGATACAGACCCCCGGGCTTGTTCGACTTTTTTCTCATAAATTATATATGGCTGAAACATCTGTGATATAATCTCTATATCGTCAATTCGGAAAATTGACTTAAACAAACATTTTATAAAAAATTACTTTCCTACCCTATACATAAAAAACAAGTTGTTTTTTATATATAGGGTAGGAAAGTAATTTTTTATAAAATGTTTGTTTAAGTCAATTTTCCGAATTGACGATATAGAGATTATATCACAGATGTGTCAGCCATTTATAATTTATGAGAAAAAAGTCGTACAAGCCCGGGGGTCTGCATCGGAGGGGGGGGGGGGTCCTGTCCTCAAGCACCTGTGGTATATCTGTAAATTTATATATACTTGCACATGTATCACAGTTTCAGTTCGTTACAAGACTATAAGTCTTAGCCAATGCCATTTACACATAGATCTCTTACCGAGTGGGTGAACGAAGAGGATGGATTAGATGACTGGCGGGGCCTAGAGATAAGATTTTTATATAAGTTGTATAAAAGTATGTAATTCTATGCCACCTGGCACTTATAATTTGATACTTTCACTACGTGGTTGCGCTTAAAGCGATGTATAGATACAAATATGGTGATTTGCACCTAGAATTAATCTAATTTCATGGTTTTTTCTCTCTGGTCAGAAGAGACGAATCATTTTATTGCCAATAAAAACAGCAGTACAGCGGTATTTAAACTACATGGGGATTCCACTGCGCTTGGTGCGAAAACAAAATACAAACATAGGTAATCAGAGATTACATAGCTGTCTTCAACGAATGTTGTCTAAGTAAGGCAAAGTCCAATACTACTTGGAAATGGACTTACCCAAAAGACTTTCAACTAGTCACTCATCCAGAAAATGTAAGTCAAATCCAGCATCTGAAGCAAGTTTGAGAGTGTTCATACCGTGATGCATCAACCATGCAAGTTCAGATCAGATAGATGGTTCAGATAGCCCTTATAGTTTCTTGCAATTGGTAATGGACCTGCTCCAAAAACTTTAACCAGGTCACTTATCTAGAAAATGTAGGTCAGTTCCAGCATCCGAAGCAAGTCCAGTAGTGTGCATCCTTAGATGTATCATTCATGCAAGTTTGGTCCTTATAGGGCAAACAGTTACTTGGATATGATACTTGCTCCAAAAACTTTAACCTGGTCACTCATCCAGAAAATGTACGTTAGATCCCACATCCGAAGCAAGCCTGGTAGTGTGCATCTTTAGATGTATCATCCATGACAGTTTGGTCAACATAGGGCTTATAATTACTTGGAAATGAGACCTGCTACAAAAACTTTAATCTAGCTGCTCCAAAACATTATCCTGGTCATTCTTCAGATGAAAATGCAGCATTGACTGGTACAATGAAACATACTACATGCAGAAGCATCCTCCAAGCATCTCTGATTAATATAGGAAATAGAAGTACATGAAAAGAAATCTTCTCCAAAAACTAACCTCGGACGCCGACACCAACGCCGAGGGTATTACGTAAGCCCCCCCCCCCCCCAACTTCATTGAGATGAGCTAAAAATGTCTTCTATGAAGTAAGCACGTGTTTGAATGAATGGTTCATCATCGTTTCTGTCACATTTTGAAACTGTCATCAGGGAGCTTTATTGGTTCAGCACACCTGATAAACAAAGTTGTGGCCAGCAAAGCCGGTGTAAAGACGAATAATGACCCCGTAGAAAAGATGACTGGGGGGTCATCGAAAAATAACCCCCTAGCCGTAGAAAAATGTAATTTTTTGTAGAAAAAGAACCCTAGGGGTCAGTTTTCTTCATAAAAAACTGACCCCTGTTGAAAAATGACCCCCATCCAAACAGAATGATACAAAGTTAAAAAGAGATCTAGATGATCGATGCGCCAAGGTTTGAGTCTCAACGGGTAATTCTCTTGCGTTTTCTGATTAACTTTAAAATTTGAATAGGTGATATCAACTTTTCGAAAAGGTGATATCTCTTATTCGAAAAGGTGATACATCACCTTTTCGAATTGATGATATCACCAATGGGAATGAATAGGGGATATCACCTATTAGAATTGTAGATATAATCTTTTTGAGTTAAATAAGTGATATCACCTATTCGAAAAGGTGAAATCTCCCGTTTGAAAAAAAAATTATATTTTTAGAAACCATGGCAACACTGCTCGGAAAAAATTAAAACCATAAATCGATATATATATATATATATATATATATATATATATATATATATATATATATATATATATATATATATATATATATATAATGTGTGTATATATATATATATATATATATATATATATATATATATATATATATATATATATATATATATATACTTAAATAAATGAAAACAGAATGCTACAGTCCAAATTAAATAAAATCTTTACTGTTAGCGCTTTCAGCCATGTTGGCTCTTCAGACAGTTATGAAAAGTTCAAAACGTTGCCAATAACGTTGCTAATGACGTCGTAAAAATCTTAGGTATTATGACGTCACAATGAAGTTTGTGGTAGCGGCTACATGAAAAACTGTACCAAGAATTTAACTTATCAACGTATATATATATATTATATATATATATATATATATATATATATATATATATATATATATATATATATATATATATATATATATATATATATATATATATATATACAAGATTACAAGATTTATTAGTCCAATTTGGGCCCCCGGAGGAGCAAAAAAGATTTACAAACATGAAACAAAGAAGGAGGAAGATCCAAATGATAGAACAAACATGATCTTAAATATAATGAGCAGTGCTTAATTGTATAATCATTGATAAATGCATCAACAAGAGATGTATACGAGTATGCATATTGTAATATAATAATAAAATATAGTCAAGTAGCTGGACAGATACATATATATGCATATCAAAGAACAGAAGAGATGATATATTGCCATTCCTACATGTATATACATCCCCAAATATATTTAAATTTTTCAGTTAAGGTAGATTATCAAGGAATCTAGCAAGAGATCTTAGGATCTCAGGGTCTTCATTAGTCATGAGCCAAAGAAATTGATTATCATATGATAGGGACTGAATATATATATATATATATATATATATATATATATATATATATATATATATATATATATATATATATATATATATATATATATATATATATATATATATATATATATATATACACGTATATATATATATATATATATATATATATATATATATATATATATATATATATATATATATTAGTGTAGTCTACTTGTGTGACAAATTATACTGAAATCAGGCCAAAATTGTGAGAGAAGTAGCATTTTGAAAGTATTTCAAAGAAATTTCTATTTTTTAGAAAACCATGGCAACACTGCTCAAAAGAAATCAAAAACAAGAGCAAAGAAATATATACATAAGTGTAGTCTACTTTGTGCCAAGTTGTATTGAAATCAGAACAAAACTGTAGGAGGAGTAGTATTTCAAAATATTTCACAGGGTCATATTTTAAATAATGTTTGCTTGCCCTCTCCCGGCACAGGGTAAAAAAATTGGTCGGTAGGTAGGTGGGAAAATCTTTTTTCCTCAGAAAATTTCAACATACATGTTGACGAATGGGAAATTTCAGGAATGAAACGAAAAAAAAAATATTGCAATTCCTAGAGGTTGAAAAAAGATTTGAGTTGGGCCATTTCGAGCCAGTCATTCGGGAGAGGGCAAACAAACAAATTTTTAAAGTTGGCCTAGAAATATCTGCAAAGAATCAACTTTAAAACGTTCAGTTAGTAAGATCTTGGAAAGAGAAAGGCATTTCACGGTTGCTGGTCTTGTGAAAGCATAGTTAAGCGGTAAAAAAGAAAACACTGACAATCAAAATTATGCTACTGGAATATTATTGTTAACAAAATGAATTTCAATTGATAGAGATACGTTTTAAATGTGCAGATATTGGACCAGACTGTGTGAAATGTATAGGGAGAATATTTTGAGAACCTCACGACGCTATATTTTTGACGTTATAATGTTGTTTAGTTTGCTCCGGGGTTATCAAACATGTTGATTTTAAAATATTTACATATTTCTTGAAAGTAATATAACGAGGATTGACATTGTCCACGAACTTTTCGAACAACCCTTGTATATTCAAAGTTGTCAACCATATCACTTAACAAAAGAATATTTTACTTCTTTGCACCATTAAATAGACAATTCAAATATAACAAACACTTTTTTGTCGTTGTTTTGAAACAATTATCTTTTATTTAAAAAAGAAATAAAATAAACTACATATATATAAATGCTTTTTTATAAATAAATAAGGTCTAAATATGGACTTGAAAGCATTCCTTCATTGAGAAATAGTCTGTCTCTCTACCAGTTTACGAAATATTCCATTAGGAATTTTTATCAGTTCTTGGTACGGACCAATCTCAGCCACAGCCCCAAGATCTAGAACTGCAATTTGATTGGCTGATCTAATTGTTGAGAGGCGATGAGCAATGGTAATAACTGTCCTATCTACCATCAGCTTCTCTAAAGCGTCCTGCACTAAAAACTCACTCTCGGCATCTAAAGCACTGAAAAAGAGTCAGGGAAAAATTGAACAAGATGTGTTTGTGAAACACTATGCCCCCAATGGTAACACAATTCTGTAGTGGGACTTAGACTACAGTGCAATAGTTATGGCCAATGTTAAAGTTTTTCAAATGTAGGTCAAAGGTCACAGTTGAGGTCACATGATCAAAAATTTCTGTACCAAAGGAAAGGTCTTGTCATAATGAACACTCATGTCAAATATTATTAAAAGCCTTACCCTTGACAGCGCAATAGTTATGGGCTAGGTTAAAGTTGACAACAGACAGACAAACAGACAGACAGAAAAAAACAATATACCCCCGGGATCTTTCGATCCTGGGGCATAAAAATTCAGGTATCTCAATGACCATGGTTATGTTGAAGTGATCTGGAAGTCCCAATTGCTTATTCCCTAAGTATTTAACCCTGGATATCTCGAACCCTCGGATATCTTGTGAATATTTTCTTGGTCCAATCAGGTTTGAGATAATGAGGTTTGACTGTAATTTCATTGCATACTTAATAATTTCAGAATATGCACATCTATTTATTATTTCTGAAATGGGTATACAAGCAGTCTTACCTTGTAGCTTCATCTAGTAAGAGAATCTTTGGGTCCTAATAAAGGAACATGTGAATTTAAAATCAATTTTAATAAAGTAAACTTTGGGCAAATAAATATAATAGATATGATCAAAACAATGTTTCAATCTTACATAATGATTTACCTTAAGAATTGCCCTTGCTATAGCTATTCTTTGCCTCTGGCCACCTGAATGAGAAGTAATGACTAGTGTCTTTTCATTCATAATTTATTAAAAAAGAACAATAATGCATTTTAAATGCATTTGTTCAGTTAATGTTTATAAAAAGTATTTACTCCACAAAATTTACTTAAAAACGTGTAAAATCACCTGAAAGCATAAGCCCCCTTTCTCCAACAATAGTTTCAAATCCATTGGGAAAAGACTTGATGAAATTGAGAGCATTTGCCTTCCTTGCAGCCCCCTCAATTTCTGCTGGGCTTACAGAGTTCATGTCTGCTGCTCCGTACATTATGTTCTCAGCAATGGTGCTAGAGAAGAGAACTGGTTCCTGGCTTACGGTGCCAATCTGGTTTCTAAGCCAGTGTGGATCCAGTGTCTTTATGTCATGGCCATCCAAAAACACACTCCCTGAAAGTCATAGCAATATGCATATTTCACTTTTGTGAAAATTTATATATTATAATACATTAAAAGTCTTACACAAATATAAAGATAAACAAAAGTCCAAGGTGATAGATATGCATTTAACATTAGACCAAAACAAATGTACTCCACAATTTAAGATTACCCTCTTGTGGATCATAGAACCGTAACAGCAGAGACCCTAGTGTGGATTTTCCTGACCCACTGGACCCAACTACAGCTGTAATTTGTCCTGGCGGGACAGTCAGACTTAGATCGTTAAAAATGAAAGACTCCGGGCGGGACGGGTAACTGAACACAATGTTACTAAACTCAATGCTACCAGCAGTGTGTGCTGAGGGAACTAATCCTCCTGAAATACATGTATTATATAGCAATTATCTTATACTTATAGATAATCTTCAATTTGATAAATGTTTGTTGTAAATATAAAAACAAATAATTTGATTCAATATTTAATATGTCAATAAAAATTATTTTGATATTGAATTTTAAGAAATACAAATCAAATGAACACGGCATAAAACAGCTAATTATGGAAATGAACACAGTGAAATAATTTATGTACAAATCAAAATATAATTCTTCACATCAGGTTAATTCAGTGGACATTTAAAATTTCATTAACTTGCATCATGAACACAGATTTTTTTTAATATAGTAGATACAATTACACTTAACACTTAAAAAGTACATTAACCACATGAATATATATTAATACACCAAATACTTACCAGTTATTGGGATTTCTGGGACTCTATCAGTCAATTCCCAAATCCTGGAGGAGGCACCAATTCCTTTCATAAGCTCACTGTAAAAGGATGTCATACCTACAATAAAGGAAACAAAATACTTCAAATAAGATTATTTATTTGCATACATGTACATGTATATTGAATATTTCAACATTTATGTCCTTTTAACACAATTCACGGCACACTTTTTGAAATACTTTCAGTATTCTTTGTAATTCATCTTACCACTTAAAGATACTGTAGCATACGCAGCATAGAGAAGAAAGGAAGATAACTCTCCCACAGTAATCATGGAGGATTGCATCATAATACCCCCACTGTAGAGTACGGAGAGGATGATTAGGTTACCAGTAAACCCAGTCTGTAAAGAGAACCAGTAAAAGCTTTTACAAGGTGTATAAGCTCTATCTCAAATGCTTAGACACGTTGTAATGTGGAAAAACTCTTGATTATTGATCTTTAAATTTCCAAACCTCTGGTAAACTTAATTTGGATATTTTTGACAATGCATGGAAATGAATACCAATCTACATAAGTCTAAATAAAATTCTTTATTCTGTAACCATAAATTTCTCCCTTTACCTCTTTATGTTTTAGATACTAGTTTTCCCCAACTCGAGTTTCTAACTTACAATGTATGTGTTTCACATTTTCAGTAGCGTGGTGATCTTCTAGAAGACTTGGTCCTTGTCAATAAAGGATCATATACTGTATGTGTACACAAACTGGCGTATTCAAAATTTAGCGCAATCACTAGGTATGGAGTTGTTGGCAAAATCATGAATTAGCACTATACATGTCCGTGCCATAAATTGTATTTATAAATGATTTCTTAGCAGTATTCATGAATTAGTGCATCGTTGCCTGTGCCAAAGCCGCTAAAATATGAAGCCCACTTTTTTTAAGTACACATACAGTACTACCTGTATTACTTACCAGTCCCCAGAACAGACCTAAAGCAGCAGCCTCTTTCTGCATGAGTTGTAAGACATGCTCTATTTTGGAATTGTAATTTTCTATCTCTTTATTTTCTTGAGCGAATGCTCGGACCGTTCTGATGTTACTGATTCTCTCCTCTGCAACCTACGTAAGAGTTTGTCTGATTAAGATTCAATGGAGTGTTTGTTTCTTCTGTTGGATAAAGTTCATGGTAAATTGTTCTATGCAGAGCAATAAGCATAGCATATACAGCTGATTAGAAGACATATTTACTGTCATCAAATATGACGTGTTACATAGAGGAATATCAAACATACCTGGGTTGCATTAGCAAGAGAGTCCTGGACATTTTTGGTGATTTTCTTTTGATAGGACCCATAATATCTGGATACCAGCATGAGAGGAGGAACAACACAGATCACTATACCAGTCAGTTTGGGAGACACATACAGCTAATTCAAAAAGATGCAAAAAGAATTTTATTTGACATATATACAATAGTACTTACAGGTACATATTATTTATCAGTATCAGAACACAGTGTGTACCATATTAATTCTTATCCAAGTAAGATTTATAAGCTTCCTGGAAATTTGTCTCTATATAATCAATACCCACCCATTTCCACATAGTACACAAATATTTTTACAGCATAAGCATACTATGTCGTAATAGTGCTTCCATTATGTCAGCACCCACACTAGGGATAAAACACATGACCCCTAGAATGTCAGTCATAATTGCTTTCAATTGTTCCATAGAAACCTTTAGTTTACACAATGTATTTCTAATACATGTATATATAAATGGAATTTCAAACATCTGACATAAAACAAGAAATATGAAAACAAATATAATTCCAAAAATAGTGTCATTGTTGACAAGAATATTAAAGAAAAAAAAATTTCATACTTATAAGTCACATATTGTCACATTAACTGGTTACACAGAGTCATGAAAACACTTTATCAAAAGCACTTGATTAAAGAATGTATTTGAAAATTATCAATAAAATTTGACATCTGCAAACATGCTTGGGGTGGGGGTAGGGGATCTAATTAAATTCCTATTTTCATACAACAGTCAGCATAATAATTACAAAAGAGTTGTGTTGTGCATGTACTAACTAGTAGTCAGGGTTCGACACATAGTGCACTTCCCTCCAATTCATGCACCATGTGGCAAGCCTGGACTACTATTACTATTTTAGGCATAGTACATGCAAAACGCAACTTTAATTATATAAAATATTTGATATGTTGAAAAAAAGGTCTTTTTAACCATTCTAATTAAAATCTAACTTCTTATGTCTACTCTGTAAAATTTGTATAATAATTAGGTCAACAGATTGGATCTGTGAAGTCTCCTTTAAGAAGAAATTACTTTTGAAAGATATGATAGAAAACTGGAAATAATTCTACACTTTACCATCATGCCCACACCACCCGCTGCCTGTGCCACTGCCCGCAAGCCATCCGAAACATTCATGGTAATAGATCTGCCCACCAGCGAAGTGTCTGTAGAGAGTCGGTTGATTAGCTCCCCTGTCCGGTTCTTGTCAAAGAATCCTACCTCCTGTCTCACAATAGACAGGAAAAGTTTTTCTCTAAGATTTTTAACAATTATATTGCCTGAAAGCAATAAAAATCAGCATATCTATATATAATTTGAAGTTGTGCAGTACATAGATAAAAATAACTTTTAATGAACATATTAAATCTGTTATAGAAATCTGAGAAATTCAGAACTTTTTAGCAAAAATATATATGCATTGTTATTAGATAATGTATGTTAAGTATGTATTTTAAATGGAAATAATAAAAAAAATCCCTTTTCTGTATGATTTATTTAAAAACTTCATTTCTTCTTTAATTTACCTGAATTATTCATGATGTATATTCTTCCCATGTTAGCAATAGCACCAATGATAAAGACACAGATCAGGATCTGACATATATTTGTTAATGTGGCAGTCATATTCTCACTGTCTGAGTAAATAGTGTCTATGACTTTACCAATACAAAATGGAATGGACATTGAAATACCACTGGATATGATCAGCAATCCCACAGCACCTACAAATGCATATTCTACAGTAACTTTTACTCACATGTGAGAAATATTTGCATGTTTCGCATCCTTTGTTAACTTGGGATTATTTCTTGCAGCAAACCAATTATATACTTGTGCATTTATGCTAAGTGTTTCCTTAGTTGCAAAAAGTAGTGGTCATGGATTGATTTCAAACTGATGAATTGTAAATAAAAGATCTGGAATAATATTTGGTTAAAGGATCTTCTCCCAAATCTTTCACCATTCATAAGCAATAATAGTCAATTGTGAACAAATCTGATGAAACATTTCTAGTTATTTCAATACACAAATGTAAACTGATGTATTTTTAGTTAACAAAGCACTGAAAGAAATTAATTCATGGCATTACTCTTATAACATGTATAAATTTTTTAAAAATCAAGAATTCAAAATATGTCTGATAGAACGTTCTATCATTAAAATGATATTGTCCTACAGACCCGGTCTGTTGAGGGCTTGTCCCGAGACACAGATTATTCTAACTAAAAATATTTATACTTTGAATTTGAGTTGAGTTAATTTCTGTGGAGCTCAGACCTACTAATTTTTAATTATCAACTCTATATTAATGTATCAAAATAGAAACTTACCTGCTAGCTTCCATTTTTCTGATTTTGCTAATGAAAGAAGTCTGTAAATTTCTTCTGAGGTTGGGACTTTCTTTTTTACATGATTCTTGTCCAAGGTCGTAGAACTTGACTTTCGTCGTGATACAAAGCTTTTGATTTTATTAAAGAGACTATTTCTGGTCGACTCCCCAGTTGATACATTTTGAGATCTGAGAATATTTGATTTGGATACCAACGAGTTACGGAACGTCCTATAGAATGTGTTACGAAATCGTCTGGGTACGACATATGGACTAGAAATTAGACACAATCTAAAAGACTGTGAATTAAGATGTGTAGTCCACTTGAAACAGAGTCTGTGTGACATCCTTTCCGGTTACCCTTTATTACAAACTAGGCGTGAAGTCCCAGAGAATCACCTTCACACCCAAATGGCACAACTTACGAAATGTTTTGCCATGGGCGCCGCCATGTTGAAATCTTGTTAAGTTATACGTTTCCTATTTCGCCTAAAGGAAACGGTCTCTTTTTGTTCTGGGATTGTTGATCAATCTATCTTATATTAAAATCTATTTAGTAATGAATGACAAACTGCTATGCGATAGTAATAGTTTTGTTTACATACACCTCTGCTATTTATGACAAAGTGTAATGGGAAAAAATCATTCAGTGCGAATAGTTGGGACCGTTAATATCGGCTGGAATTGGTGGCTTTCCCCCCCCCCCCCTTTCCATTTTTTTTCTTTTTTTTTGAATCTGGGGTCAACATACTCTTTACCTATTTTTGTATCCTAATATGCACTATATGATATCGATAATGTAGCCCTGTTGTCTCAATAAACTGTTTTTAAATATATCGTTTTTTGACCGATACATCAGTAAAAAAATCTTTTAATTTTTTTTTTATTTGTAAATAGGGCTTCCCCTCTCGCACGCGCTTTTTATCTAGAGACAATGCTATAGTAGTGGCCCTTCACTTCAATGGAAGAAGAAAAAGTATAACGATTATCTTCAGACTGTGACGACAATTTCGTCTGATAATCCTGAGACAACCACAGTTTCTTCTCCCATATTTAGGAACAATAGAATATGATAACATGTCCTCCTCCGTGTCAACTAACCATCATAGTAACTTCTCTGATTAGAAATTCTATGTGATTGATCTGCTGTGAAGATTAATTAGCATTTTTACAATATAACTTCGGAATTATTTATCTATTTAATTTTGTTTTTGATGAAAACTAAGGAAGTTATAGCCATTTCAAGTGTCAGCCAATTAAACTACAGCACACGTCCTGCGCGTGTTTTCAAGAATTTCCTATGTAACATTTTGTAGATACATGTACTTATAATATATACCTGTATTTTAAATTTCAAAGTATTTTGACCGTCACGGTAGTTCAGCCGGTAGAGCGCTCGCTCCGTGATCAGAAGGTCGTGTTCGAATCACGAACCGCGACTGACTTAAGTCGATAAAAAATAGGTAGCAACTGTTCTTTCGCCAAGCACTCGGCACATTGAAGTGAAAGCTGCGGGTCCTTCGGACGAGACCTTAAAAACCGAGGTCCCATGTCACGGTAGGCGTTGGCACGATAAAGAACCCTCACTGCTTAATGACCCTGAGTGCCGAGTAAAGGTCAAAATTTGAAGCCCTTCATCGGTATATGGTGACGTCTCTATATGAGTGAAAAGTTCTCGAACGGGACGTACAACAACATACAATCAATCACAATCAATTTGCTGGTGGGAATGGGAGAATAAGGCTACATGTACATGTATATCACCAGCAAAGTCCTGGTCTTCTACTGTTGTGAGTGTATACCCATCTGATACAATATATAAACTTTTTCACGTTAGTCTGTAAGTTGTAAGTATCTCTTGCATTCTGGGCTTTAAGTATAACTTTATGAAGCGCTCATCAATAGTTTTTATGTCAACTTCAGATGCAGAGTTGGAAACACCAGCATCGAGTTTGACATTAAAACAGGAGTCCGTCAAGGCTGTCTAGTGTCATCAACATACACTATTCATCATAGCGATTGACTGGGTCATGAAGAATACAATTTCCTTTGCAGAGCAGGCACTTTGTATTTATAATATTTACATTTCCAATGTCTTTGTTCGAGATAAAATTTCAAATAGTAAAAATACTTTATTTCTACATATATTCTACTGGTTCATCGATATAGGCGTGGTGAAAAAAAATCACGTGCGGGGCGGGATAAATAGAGACAGAAGCGGGGCTTGTAGCACGTGAATTTGCAGAATTAAGAGCATGTAAATATAAAGAATAACTGTCAGATTTTTTGGTTTCATGACGATGATCAATCGATTGGCTTGCGTGATAATTTTATGCATAAACGCCATCGGCGTTTATGCAAATTATCACGCAAGCCAATCGATTGATCACATCATGAAACCAAAAAATTAGACAGTTATTCCTTAACTATAGTTATATTACAGTAACATAACTATAGTATAAATACAAAGTGCCTGCTCTGCAAAGGAAATTTACAGGACAGTTTACATGTTATACAGCAATATCCCAGTCTACATAGGGTGATGTAAGACGGCCATACTTGGTCTGTCCATAACATTGTGTGTGCAAGGTGATTTTCCAAATTCATTATTAAAAATAAATTTGTCGTAAATTGTGTACATGTGAGTATTAATGAAAAAGATTTTGTTTTTGTAAATAAAGAGCCAATTTCTCTTGATTATGTCGCTATTATGTTAAGTGGTTCTTGGAAAATTTTACAAAGTGTACAATTCCCCATTCAGTGAACTGCATTATTACTTAAGTAGTATAATACAGTCGAGAATTGTGTTCTTTTTGTCAATTGTCATCGCTAGTCTTATGCTGCCGAGTTCTGTCAGAGAAGATAAGCAATGCACGACAAACACGTAGTCATAGTCGGTGCTGGTTTGGTGAGTAATGTGTGAAACATTAACTGAAATAATTATCTAAACAGCAAAATTGCATTGAAAAATTTGTAATATCAGAAGCCAAGAGAAATGGATACTGAGATGTTGAAATTATGTTCGAGTCATTTAACTGAATTCAGAATGTAGCACATGTTCTTGCTTTCTATGACATAAAGCTGTGAAATGATTTTGTATTAATAGTTACTCAAGATTGAGATGTTTAATTTGGATTCAGGCTGTGATTTTTAAAACCCCTCACAAGGTTGAATTCAAACATTTTTATTTGTTGTGATTTCAAAGTCTTCCTTGTCAGCCATGATTAGATGTAGAGATGTAGCATGGCCAGGAAATACAAAGAAGAAAAGGACACTTAGTCTTTACTGCCGTCATAACGAGTTCAAAATGGACTTGGAACTTAACTAACTTAAAGTATAATTTTTCTCATTCACCTATTAGAAATATATTTATTCATTTGAATGTCCCTATCTTAGGTAAACCAAGAGATAATTATAAATCGAAGACTTCAAGAAAGAAAATATAAGAAACTATCACCAGAGACAGTTGGGTTCTATTCAGGTCACCATCTCCATTACTCCAACACTAATGTCGGTACTATGGTCAGTCACAGTGACCGACCTTTCAGGAAAACAACAAGACAAGCATGCAACAAAAAACAGCTTCAGTTTTATTCAGATCAACGAGTTGGTGCTGGTCTTTACTAATATTAACTAAAAACCCTTTTCACCCATTCTTCCCCCTACGGTTCAGTTTGTTGGAGGACACAGAAGGTTTATATACATTAGGAGCACTGGGGGTCAGGTCATTCCATACATTCATGCTAATTATAATAATTACTTACTATAAATATTACAAATTCAACTTTATTTTTTCAGGTTGGTGCGTTTAATGCCATTTTATTAGCAAAACGAAATTTTAAAGTGAGCGTGTACGAGAAAAGGCAAGGTGAGATTTCTAAACAAACTTTTTCATTTAATTGAAAATCTCTGCATCATAACCCCATGAGCAATAAGGTGATTTAGTTAGCATTTGTCCATACAATGTAAATCCAATTCTTTGATTAAACAAAATGTTTATATACAATAATAGAAAATCATGTGATTAAAATTCACATTAACCACCGCATTGTAGTAGACAACAAAAGAATTACTCAGTATAAGAAAACCTCACTATTGCTATAATGTGGCATTAGTGGATGACTATGTATCTTATGGTATTTTTGTATAATATATGTGTATTTATAATGTTATTATATTTACAATTGTTATACCATTTGTGGCTGATGTGGTTATCATTTTTGTTATATCATTTGTGGCTGACGTGTTATTTTGTGTTATATCATTAATTTTGTGAATGACGTGGTTATTACCGGTATTTGTGTTACATCATTTGTGGCCGACGTGTTATTTTGTGTTATATCATTTGTGGCTGACGTAGTGAACATGACTGGATGATAAATTTGATGTCAAGTCATCCACTTACGCTTTATGCTACATTGTATTAGTTGTGGATTTTATAACATAAGTAATTTCTATACCACATGTCTTTGTCGCCAAGGAAAATTCATTAGAATCAACTTCAGAATATATAAATCCATCGATCCATCAACCTTCAATTATCTCTAATATCCTACTTTACTTTTTTGAAGTATTTAACGCATACTATTGTATCACGATGTCATTTATTCTTCATCTTTATTCTTCGCAAAATCTAGGAATGTCCAAATCATTCTGATGTTTCAATCGACTCTTTGGAAACTAAGTCGAGTTGTACTCGATTAATTGTTGCAACATTATATATACTTAACTTCGCTCCTTATTGACTGCAAGGCTCCTTTCGTTAAGATTGTGCAACCTTGCATTGAATGTATAAGTCGATGGAAGATATCTTTAATATATTGGTTCTGAAATGCGTTTTGCATTTTTACCATGAAATGTATGGAGATAACGAACAAACTCAAAAGCTCAAAAGTCCATTAAACAATACAAATTTTGGAACAGAGCAAACACGGACCTCTAAAAGATCAGAGGTGGGATCAGGTGCCATGGAGAAGTGAGCATCCCCTGCAGACCGGTCACACCCGCCGTGTGCTCCTTGTCATGATCTGGAAATAATGGAAAAATCCGTCGACAATTCAGTGTGCAAATAATGGCCTAATACTTTGTATGAAAAACGTCAGTCAGCATTTGACTTAGAGATAAATTGTATTTGCTGACAAGGTCATTGTATCGACCATAGAACTTACAAAATGACGACTTTAAACGAGACTGATGATATTCTTGTTTCATCAACTTGTTTGTCAATAACTTTCATCGTTTTAGAAATTGTTCACCATGCATCGGCCATTATTTTTTTTATAATTGTCTGTATCGCTGATTGGGGAGTATTATAACATTTCTTTTATTAAATACAATGGTGGCCAGCTGACCCCAGAGATTATCCCAGGTCATCCTTACTCTCAATATCATCTTGCACTATAAGAAAGAGAATTTGCCAGTTCTGTATTTTTTTTTTTGAAAACAGTTCACTAAGTTTAAGTTAGTTTAGTTTTTATGCCGTATATAAATAAATATTTTTAATTAATCGAGTAATGTGTTTTAGTTAATAATTGGTAAATCGAGTACTCGTTGACAACCATTGTAAAATCTAACTCAAAATGAAAGACACCAAAGAGTCTGCCATATCTTGTTTCAAATACTGACTATAGCCGATAAGGGCAAACTTTGCTAAACTGTTTGACAAACGAGATGACTTCAGCTTTTCCATCGTCAACTTTCCTCATTCATGTAGTAATATTACACAAGCACATGCATATGGTGTTAACTAGTATGTCTCCCAACTTATTCGATGCTCGAGAGCATGCTTTAAGAACGGTCAATTTTTAAATCGAGGTAGGCTACTTACATATTAGTTGGTGTTGCAAGGATTTCAACAGCCTCGTATAAAGTCAGCATTTCGTAAATTCCACGGTCGTTATAATGACCTTATAAGCAAATACAACCTATCATTGGGTCGTATTTTGACCAACATATTACATACGAATTGTTAGGTCTTTGTTTTTATACTAAATTTGACTAAAGATTACTCCGACTACCTTTATCTATATATACGGCTCATGGCAGGTATGACCGGTCGACAGGGGATACTTACTCTCAGCACCTTATCCTACCTCTGGAATTTTAAGGGCTCCGTGTTTTATGCCGTTTCACAGCTTTGTATTGTTTGTAGGTTTGTTTGTAGGTTTTTTATTTTAGATCGATCCTTGTTCTTTATCTTCAACAATTTCCTATCTTACGTTTACTTGTATAAATAAGAAACTCTTCAGGATATAATCAATGTTAATAGTGTATTGTGTATTGTTACCACCTTACCATATTGTTCCCCTTCTTGATTACTTCCTCTCTGAGGATGTATAGATTTAAAAAAAAAAGGTCAAAGTCATCATTTCATGAATGTCATTTTTGTGTTTGGATAGATAAACTGAAGAAGTGTATTATAAAATTCTCGCTGACCTGAACACTATAAATTGTTCATAAAATACACAAATTTTCTTTCCGTTTACCATTCAAGATTCTCAAAGTATACAATTATTCCCTGTTCTGTTGATATCATTACACAACAACTGCAATTGATAATCTATGTCGTGCTGTGTAATATCTTCAGTATAAGTGTTGTTATGTCTATTTTAAGAATAACGTCTTAATAATGAGCCACTTTATTTCAAATTCTATCCTAATGCTTGTTGGAAATAAATATTTGTTTCACATGATTTTATTCACTAAATCTCAAAAAAAAAGAGAAAGAAAACAATATTACGTTCAGGATGAAATTCTGTGTGAGATATTATGTATGAATCTTTTTTATATAATAAAATCTCAGTTCGATTCATCGCGGCGCTCGCTTCGTGATCGGGAGGCCGGGCTCGATTCTCGTTCGCCGCGCTGCGTCAAACTAGACGTAAACATAGATATTGACTAATCATTCGCCATGTGCTCGGCACTAGAAGTGAAAGTCACGGGTCTTTTGGATGAGACCTTAAAAACCGAGGTCCCGTGTCACGGTAGGCGTTGGCACGATAAAGAACCCTCACTGCTCAATGGCCATAAGTCCCAAGTATAGGTCTAAATTTGAAGCCCTTCACCGGCATACGGTGACCTCTCTATATGAGTGAAAAATTCTCGAATGGGACGTTAAACAACATACAATCAATCAATCGATTTCTCGTATTAATATTTCATGTATATTATGTCATATTTTCCATAGTGATGTAGCTTTGAAGGATTTAAGTTTTTCAAAGACCTGTCAGTAACGTCATTTATTACATTTTCGGCAAGCCTTTAGAGTAAAACCCACCTTTATCACGTTCGAATTCGATAAAAAGACTAGTTCGGAAAATAAATTTTTGACTTTCTTGAACTTCAAACAACAGAAAATAGACCTTGAGTATAATTATATGTACTCAAGATCAATGAAGAACATTAGCTACGGTATAACACAGTAAGGTCAGCAAATTTATGAAGCAACATTGATGATTTGACTTAGCTTTTTGAAACAGACATAAGAAGGGTACCGCCAATCAAGGGCCAGAGGACAGCAAATTTGGCCCTGTCCTGTCGTGGAATGGAGGCACTCCGCCATGTAGGGTTGGAGAGGGAGATAACCCCATACCAGGTACCTATGTTTTCTAGGATGGTTCACAAAGAAGATGGAACGTTGCACCCCCTCAATTATGGCAGGAAAGATCAGGTCAGTTAACAAAGAAATAACTCGCTGATAACATAGTGTTGTGATCAGCATTTGAGATATTTGTCTCATGCATATTACGTTAATTCATACTGACTGAATCAATTCTATTCTTTTAGTTCATTTTGTCGACACAAAGAAATAAACTGAACGAGATTCTTCTTAATGGTAAGGAAATAAGAAATTACTAGTATTGGAATAAATACGAATATATTTGAAACTTTTATATATAAATCCAACGAATAGCAATAATAGCTGAACAATTTTGAATTCATTGAGTGGCATGGAATACGAAATCATATTAACTATATAGCTAATTACGTATTTAAATTTTTTAGTAGTATAATTGTGAAATTTAAAAAAGATTGAATCTTAATCATAAAATGCATTCTTTTTTGTCGCCATCATTTATGGATGATGCAGCTGCAGAGAACCTCCCAAATGTCACGTGCTATTTTGAACACACCCTGAAAAATTGCAATTTACAGCAAGGAGACCTAGAATTCTTACAGTAGGTTTGACTTGGCATGTTTGTCGGAATGTCAATGCAATCAAATTTATAAAAATTAATTATAAAAAATTAACTTTCTTTTAGCAATGAAAAGAAGGTACATGTACATGCAGACTTGGTTTTGGGAAATGACGGGGCACATTCTACAATACGAAGGCAAATGATGGAATTCACTATGATGGATATACAGCAATTCTATGTTCCGTATGGATATATTGAATTAGAGGTGGCCAAAACTAAAGATAATAATGTGAGTTACGGTTTGGTCCATCAGTATAAAGGATACCAAAAAGTTTCTATAAAAATAAAGTTTATTTATCCTAATTTTCCTTTAATATTTCTCCACAATATCCGTGTGTTAATATAACGTCAATACATACTGCAGTTTCTATAAATCTCGATTCTTGTAAATGTTACTCAATTCTTGTAAATGTTACTTGTAAATGTTACTCGATTCTTGTAAATGTTACTCTACTGATTCGATTAAGATACAGTTAATTATTATAATTTATTTTATCAGTTTGCTATGGACCCTAAATACCTTCATTTGTGGCCACGTGAAGAGTTTCTGATGTTGTGCACAGCAAACTGGGATAGAACATTTAACATTCTGTTATTTATGACATTTGATGCTTTTGCAAATCTTCAGACAGAAACTGACGCAGTCCAGTTGTTCAATCAGCACTTTCCCGATGTTCTTCCTTTTGTTGGGGAGTAAGAGATTTTCAAATAAGTCTTTCTTAATTAATTACTGTAAAAATTGAAAAGTTAAATCATGCACAACAAACACTTGTTAATCCTTTATAATTTCTTTATTTGTTACAGAGAAAACCTGAGGAAGTCTTTTCCTTTTTGGAGGCCTTGTCCAATGATTACAATTAAGGTGCCTACTAAAGGTTATTAATATCAATCAAAAATAACTGTAAAATACAGAAAATATAAGAAATAATATCAAATCAACACCAAGTATTTTTAAATCCGTAACATTTAGAAAAGAATGTAATCAAAACGTTTAAACTTAAGTGTAAGTTGTTAAAAAAATCAATTTCAAAATTCTAAATATCAAAATGAAATGGACAGTCTTTCATTAATAACAGTTCAACAATGTATCAATTTGGTTATTTCTTTGTATATCTTCTCAATCGATAACTAATCCAGTGTTTACCCTATCATGTGGGGGACAAAGCCTTAATAATGGGAGATGCTTCCCACGCCATGCTTCCTTTCCTTGCCCAAGGAGTGAACTCGGTATGTCTTAACTTGAGCTTTATAAAAATAAAGTATGAATTTAAGATGTAGACTATATAATAATGTTGAGAAAAGAAGACTGATATGATGCAAACTAGAAATTCAGATCGACTTAAAACTTCATTTGTTTAAAACATGTAGCATTTATCTTTCACTTTTTTCTGATGTAAACTGTTTAAAAATTACTGGTAGGACTTGCTCTCAACAAGAGGTCCTTGGGCCACAACGATTAAATAGGTCACAATGGTCAAATTTTAAATCATCCATATTCCTGAGATTGCTTACAAATACATATGAATAATTATGTCCCATTAGTTCTCGAGAATCTTTTTTCTATTTATTCCTATTCCAAATAATTATACCCCTCCCCCTTCCCTGGAAGAATTGAGTCAGATCTGCTGAGTATGCTTGCATATTAATATGAGTAATCATAAACCTGGTAATCCTGAAGGGAAGTTTTCAAAGATTTTATTTCTATATTTCCATGTAAAATTTTGCTCCCCTATTGTGGCCCACTCTATTCACTGGGCCATCATTTGAACAAATATGAATTTGCACTAAAGTTAATCTGTACAAAATCATGCTTGCATGTTAAAATGGCAAATCATGGCTCACTTGCTCACTTGTTCTTGAGAAGAAGAGTTTGAAAGTTTCTTATATATATATATATATATATATATATATATATATATATATATATATATATATATATATATATATATATATATATATATATAATCCTGATTTCTGGATTAGGGGACCAATGCCATGAAATCTGGCTTAAGTAGACAAAATTTATCTTTTTCCCCTATGCTTTGAAATAAAAACCAAATGCATTTTTGTTGGTACTTGGGCTTATTGATTACCATTCTAATGCTAAATTTTACAGAAAACTTGTAGGTAAAAATATACAAAAAAATTGGTCTCCCTAATATTTTGTAACCCTTTCACGTGAGTTAAGGTGACCAGTGTATATTTTCGTAAGTACTAAATCTGGCTTAGGTGGACATTTTTTTTTCTTACAGTTGTAAGGTTATAGTGAACTAAAATTTAACAGAGAATAGTTAAATGATTCAATTTAAGAATGATGTACGGTGGAAGCACAAAAAAAAAAAAATGAAATCTTGCAAGACACGATAAACAGGAACGCCAGTTGCAACATGTACAGCTTCTTGCTGAAGTTTATCAGGCCTTTCAGAGCAGCTGCGGAGATGCTGTTCCATGCTTCTAATGCATATTCCAAAAGTGGTATCGGTATTACATGTATAAATGTAATACTAGAATACATTTAAGCTAGGAAGTCAGGATACGTAACCCTTTTAATTTACGAAAAAGTGCAATTTCTTTGGAAGCCTTTTGTTAATACTGTCAGTGTGGTTTGTCCACTCCCCAGGGTTTGAGAATGTAAGTCTAAGATGATAGTGACCAAGAGAAGGATCGATTTGCTGATTATTCAACACTAAGTGCAATTATATATTTTATCCTCATTGCTGCAAAATATTAATAATTTTAGCTTGGTAATTGGGATTAAATTTCACAAGTCGCTTTTAGCCATTCTTCATTTATAAGTCGTGATTGCTCAGGCTTTCTAAGTTCTGCACGTTTTGAAAGGTGTTTGACGCGAATATGCATCATATGCCAATATTCTAGAGGTACCCAATAGACCACCTGGTAGGTATTGTATATCAACAACGAAAAGTTGAAGTCCAATAATAGAGCCCTGGGGAACTCCAACTTCCGTCTTTCTCACTAAATATACTGAAAATTTATTTTTGATCTGTTGCGATGGATTGAAAAGATTATAAGCCAACAAGGTAAGAACTTCACCCGCAAATCTATGTTGTCTCTTGTTCTTTTAAATAAACCGCATCGAATGTCTTGCTGTTATCATAAAATGCAAAACAAGTTAATTCGAATTCTTTATTGTTTAACACAAACCATTTATTATGATAAATTTCTTTTAACTGAGTGACTGTTTAATGATTTCTTAAAAATCCGCACAGGCGCGTAGCTGCCTATACGCAAATACGCAAGTGCATACACATAATTGCAAAAAAAAAAAAAAAAAAAAATAATAATAATAAATATAATGAATGAATGAATAAATAAAATCTATGGGAGAGAGAGAGTTATTCGAAGAAAAAATCTCAGTACCATCCAACAAACATTCGGATTTCGAATTGTTTTGTGTCATACTGCTGAAGAGTGCTTTGGATTTTATATAATCATGACTATATAATAAAATTTGAAGTCCTTTATTAAATCATTGCCAAATTTAAATAAAGCATTCATGAACTTGTATTCGTTCTTTGATACATTGATAATTTTTGATATTTTTTTTAAAAGATCTTTGAGAAATAAAATTTCAGACACATCCTTGAATGTCATGATCTACTACATGTAGTATATGATTTAAAATACGATGTTTTTTGTTCATAATTAACATTAAGTATACAAGTTTTTGAACGATAGAAAAGAGTATGATACCAAATATCGATTAGATATTTAGCCTAAACTACATGTACACTAAGTTTCCGTAGAAGTATTAATTTTGCGTTAAAACAATAAATATTATGTCTTCTATTTCAAAACAAAAGATAAATGACATAATTTTTATTTTGCAAGAAAATGAATGATATACATGTATTTGGTAAAACTCAGAAACTTCTGGGCCCTCACCAGCAGGCATGTAGTATCGTGGGGGGAAGGGGGGGGGGAGGAGGAGGGTTCCCTGCCTACACTTTTCCAAACCTAACTTTTGACTATTGAAAACGTTCACTGAAAGGGTGGTTGCCCCCTTCCACTTTTTGTTGTAGCATAGTTAAAACATGCTAATTTGTTAATATTTTTAATATAGTTTCGATTTGTGAAAACTGGAAATAAACCCCAACCCACCCCCGTCGTCCTCTTCGTATACTTCACTTTTATTTGGCTACGCTCCTGCCATAATGTAGTTTGTATAACAATTCACAAATGTATTTGAACCTTACTCTTTCAAGATTTTTCCTATGCAGCATAATAAGGATACCGGTATGTAATTAACTTAATGAATTTGTTTTAAAGACAGAAATCACATGAGTATGTTTCCAAACACCAGGGAATTGTCCGATACGCAAAAATGTTTCAAATAAATTTTTTAGCAAAACTGCAATTTTATTTCTAGTTATGGCTGAATATGTCGAGAAAAGGCTTTTTGGGATCTAAAATTTTAATTTCAATAGTTTGATACACACAAATAACACTTTAAAATCGTGGAGCGATGACCTACAGAAGCAAATATAGTAGAAAAACGTGTGTAAATAAAATTTTGTAACAAATTCAAGGTAAATTTTAGTAAAACAACACACAATATCTAGAAAAATTTTCATTTTCCTGCTGAATCTAATTCAAAAGCGCTATTGGTCTTTATAATTTTGAAATGGATAATATATAATAATGGGTATTTTTATAGGTACACAATTATTTAAAAGTTGCAAATAGTAGTTTCACATGCGCTCGTTTACTTACAGGCGTAAACTTTTCATGTATGGATGGAGAATTTACTCTTATTTTTGCGATGGGTGCACGTGCACTCTCAAACTGTTTTTTCAATTTTTGTAGTATTATCACGGACAGAGACATTTGTAAATACATCAGTATGATCATGAAATTTGCTTTTTCGAAGTACTTTGTAAATATACTTGTTAGGACTTTCCAGTTTTTTCAATGAAATCAATTGATGCTGTATTTTTTAGACAATTGCAATATTTTCTATTCTTATCTAAATTTTGTTATGCGTTCAGATGACTGAAAATACATAAGGAGTAAATTTACTCGTATGTAAAATTTTATTTGAATCTAGTCTGACTAGATGTAAATGTTGCACTAGGAGTAAAAATACTCGCGTACAAAACTTGCTTATCCCCCCCCCCCGTTTGCATTCGCTAAAATACATCAAGGTGCAAATTTTGCATGTATGTAAAATTTGCTCCCTGTCTGTAAATATACGCATGTGAAGGGGGTTTATAAATTTGGACATGAGTAAAATTCATGTAAAAAGAACACGTTTCTGTTTCCGGTTGCCTTCTACTTCTCAGCTCTTTAAAATCAAACAAATGTGAATTATCACCAGATAGAACTCCACGTGTTCATTATCATGGAAAGGGCGTGTCCCTGTTTTGTAGTGGAATCCCGTCAGTTCTTTGGCATGTTTTTTTTTTAAATGATACGCGTTCTATTTCCTTTTTTTTTGTGTGTGTGTTTTTCACATAAATTAATAATTTTAATTATATTCATTTTACAAACAAATTACCATACAATTGCAAGTAATTATAATAAGTTTTAATTTTTTGTGTACATTTCATTTAACATTCGGTCTCTAATGCCGCAATTCATTGTCAATGTTAATACGTCATTAAAAAAATAGTGGATGTTGCTTTTATATTTTTGTCATTGGGATGGGGGTGTTATGTAAGGGAGAAGTCAAATTCTATAGACTGAAAAACAGAACAGGTACCCTTTCAACTCACGGAAAAACCTGCTCGTAAAGGTATGATTGTTGTATTATTCACCTACTTACATTATTTGTTTCTTGCAAGAATCGTATTCTGGACTCTATTTAAAAAAAATGTTTGTGTAAATGTATACATACGAGTCATTTTATATATTTATATGTAATTGAAAATAATGTCGGATAAATAACTTTTTCAGCAACCCCTTGGCCACTTTCTCGCAGGCGATTTTCCATGATGTCTACAAGTTTTTAGTTTAAATCACTGAAAATTTCCTTGGCTGGCGAAGAATGTAGCTTGATAATAATGAATAGTACTAAGTTTATTTTGTCTCCTACATCTCAAAGAACACAATTCTCCCAAGGAACGTATATTTAGTGAGTTGAACAAAAAAAAAAAATAATACAAAGCTGATAGCTTTCGTATGTATTTAAAAAAAGACACTTATTACTACATGTAGTACATGTATGTAACATGGCTGATCTATAGGATGCAGTTACAGTAAGGAAATGGGGCGCAACTGAACAAAAATCAAGTCTACAAACTTTATTTATGAGGGGTATAACCGTAGTTTTGATACTTTTGATCTAATTATATTGTGTAGTATATAACGGCAAAATTAAAAGGAAGGGGGGGGGGGGGGGACTGGTCTCCATGTCTCCCCCAGTTCTTACGAGCCTGATATGCAATTATTTTTCGACGACTTGAACTGAGAGACCGTTCGGTAGCGATCAAGCGGTGGAAGGTGTCGAAGTAGTCCAGCCCGCCCCCTATTTTTATTAAATTACAAGTATGTAATATAGTTAGCAAAGATGTGCAATGATTAATTCCCCTATTTTTATTAAATTACAAGTATGTTATATAGTTAGCAAAGATGTGCAATGATTAATTCAATTAACTTCTATAATTTCTTTTTCTACCTTTGAAGTAATATGAAATATGATGCTTTGGGGAAAGAATAATCCACATATCGTATAAGGTAAACAAAAAAAAATGTTCAACAGACAGACCCAACATCCACGTTCCAATGTCGTAACGGTCATCCTGAATTTTACAATGTAAGGCCCTTGGCCCACAACGCTCACCTTGAGTCACTTGGCCCTGCTGTTTCCCCCATATAGATGTATTCTTAAGTAAAGTTTGCTAAATTTCATCTTTCCTGATGTAGTGATTCTGGAGATTTTTTTTTATATATAAATGTATATTTCAATGTAAAACTTTGACCCCCTATTGTAGCCTTATCCTACCCCAGGGAAATGATTTAAACAACTTGACATCTACACTACCTTAGCAAGCTTTCACGTAAGTTTCAGCTTTTCTGGTCCAGTGGTTCTTGAGATTATTTACCCTGTTTGACCCCACCCTGTTTCTGCCTTTTCTTGATTATTCCTCTTTGGAGGTATAAGGCTTGGCTCTTCGTTTTAAAAATTTAAAATTCCCTTTACCCAGGGATGCTTTGTAGCTACTTTGGTTAAAAATGGCCTAGCGGATCCTGAGAAGTCGAATGTGAAAAGTTTACAGACAAGTGGATAGTCAGATGGGCAGACACTGGACAAAGCTCACTTGAACTCATAAAATTTTTTTAAAAAGAAAAATGCCACTGTCATCACAAAATCTGGGGCACAAATTTTGATTTTACTCTACAACTTTGCAATTTCTAAGGTCAACTTCAGACCATATGGTCAGCTGTATAATGTACATGTATATAATTACAAAATTCTCTTGGTCCTTTCCAACATACATCAATCTATATTAGTTGATAAACCATTTGAAATTTGCATTCACATGTTGATTAAAATAGACTATTAGATGTCTCTAGCAGGCGCGTAGAATGGGGGGGGGGATGCTGGATACGCACCCCCCCCCTTTTTTTGATGTTGTAAGGCACTGGCAAATTCCAGGATTTGGACAGTAAATCACCTTTTCTTTTTTGCTTGTCAGTTAATTTCGGGAAATCCCCCCCCCCCACTTTTGGTCAGTTTGGGTTTTTTTCTTTTGAAACTGTTGCTACAGGCCTGCTCTAGATAACTCATGAAAACAAAGAGTCAAATAATAGTTTTTAACCTTTATTCCTTTGATCTAAAATTGACAGGTTAACGAAATAAAAATATAGTACATGTACCAAAATTGAAAAATATTAAAGATTTTTTTTTCTTGCCTTTTGCCACCACAGTACTTTTAAGGTCATATGCAATGTACATGCACTTTACAGTGAACCTTCCAACTGATAATTTTCAGAGAAAATATAATTTAAAATCATGATACCATTAGATGTTCTTTGACAAAAAATCAGCATACATTACAGGTACATGTATCAGGAGTTTTGAAAAAAATATTAAATGACGAAAACCCTTGCATTTTTTAAAAGAAAAAATCCCCCCCCCCCCCAAAAAAAGTTTTATGTGGTACTTCCTCAAAATTTGATTCAGATAAGGTGTGCAAGCATTACCAGGTATCATAAAATTGCACAAAGATCTTTCAATTACTGGATTTCTTAAATTATAGAGATAATCAGGAAGTCTGTGAGCCAATGCTCACTAGTAATACCCCCGCTCTGATGTGAATATTCACTCATGAATCCCACAATATGGCATGCCTATTCATAGAGTGTTAAAATTTCAAGCATCTTTGATGATTAGTTGTTGAGAAAACTGCAACGAAAAATTGTTACGGACAGACACACAGACAGACACACAAGGGTAAAACAGTATACCCCCTCTCCTTCAGAGTCGGGGGTATAATTATAACAAGTGTCACTTACTACTGCAAATGATCAATAAAAGATCTCTCATTACAAATTTTACCTGTTATTAATCTACAAAAACTTTCTTGATAAATATCCTTGGTAAATAATAATTTTTATATAATTTAACATCTACATCCCTACTGATAAAAATGCTTCCAGATATTGAAAGTTGCTATTCAAATTTATAATAAAGTTGTTGAATAAAATCCACATATGCCTGGTACTTGACAACAGATAGCTTGAAATGGACAAAGTCTTTTTCACATCCTCTGTTTCTCAAATGCTTTTCCAAATTAAATAAATAACTTTTACTTTATAATTTTTATAGAGTACTGTAACTGAATGTCTTGAATTTAAACACTCTTTTTTGAAGTGTTTCTCTCAAAGGTTGGCAGCCTTGATCTGTAAAAAAGAAAAAAGAAAAGAAAAATCTCTATTAATCTCTAAAAATTAGAACAAACATAATTGAAAAATTTACTTTGCTATAAAATAATTACAAAATAACTTACGCACATGTATAAAAAACAAATCCCCCTAAATGACACATTTCTTAACCGACATAAAATCTTAAATGAATGGAATCTTTGATAATGATGTTCAACACACTCAGTTGTCGAAGCTAAATTAAGCATCTAAGTTAAAAAAAACATAGGTAATCAAAGATTACAAAGCTCACCTCGACGAATGTTATCTATAAGTAAGGCAAATTTCACATCATATTTTTTTCTAGTTAGGGTACATCCCAAGATCAATATCCATGCAAGTTTGGTTTAATTATAGACCTGCTCAAAAAACTTTTGACCTGTTTAGTAATCAAGAAGATTTTGGTCAGTTCCAACATCCAAAGCAAGTCTGGAAGTTTTCATCCTTAGATGCACCATCTATGCAAGTTTAATCATAATAGGCCAAATATTATATAGCTACTCCAAAAAAATTACCCTGGTCACTCATCTGGAAAATGTACGCCAGATTCAGAATCCAAAGCAGGTCTGGAATTGTCCATCCCTAAATACATCATCCATGCTAATTTGGTTAAAATATGGCTAAAATTCACTCATGTTGAAAATCTAGGTCAGATCCAGCATCCAAAGCAGGTTGGTTAGTGTACATCCCTAGATGCATCATCCATGAAAGTTTGGTCCAGGTAGGGCTTATAGTTACTTGGGAACAGGACTACTCCTAAATCTAAACCTGGTCTCACATGTGGAAAATCTAGGTCAGATCCAGCATCCGAAGCAAGTGTGGTAGTGTCCATCCCTAGATGCATCATCCATGCAAGTTTGGTCCAGGTAGGGCTTATAGTTACTTGGGAATGGACCTGCTCTTAAAACTTTAACCTGGTCACTCATCCGGAAAATACAGGTCAGATGCAGCATCCGAAGCAAGTGTGGTAGTGTCCATCCCAAGATGCATCATCCATGCAAGTTTGGTCCAAGTAGAGCTTATAGTTACTTGGGAATGGACCTGCTTCAAAAACTTTAACCTGGTCACTCATCCGGAAAATACAGGTCAGATCCAGCATCCGAAGCAAGTGCGGTAGTGTCCATCCCTAGATGCATCATCCATGCAAGTTTGGTCCAGGTAGGGCTTATAGTTACTTGGGAATGGACCTGCTCCTTAAACTTTAACCTGGTCACTCATCCGGAAAATACAGGTCAGATCCAGCATCCAAAGCAAGTGCGGTAGTGTCCATCCCTAGATGCATCATCCATGCAAGTTTGGTCAAGGTAGGGCTTATGGTTAATTGGGAATGGACCTGCTCCTAAAACTTTAACCTGGTCACTCATCTGGAAAATCTAGGTCAGATCCAGCATCCGAAGCAAGTGTGGTAGTGTCCATCCCTAGATGCATCATCCATGCAAGTTTGATTCAGGTAGGGCTTATAGTTATTGGGAATGGACCTGCTCCTAAAACTTTAACCTGGTCACTCATCTGGAAAATCTAGGTCAGATCCAGCATCCGAAGCAAGTTTGGTAGTGTCCATCCCTAGATGCATCGTCCATGCAAGTTTGGTCCAGGTAGGGCTTATAGTTACTTGGGAATGGGACTTGCTCCTAAAACTTTAACCGGGACGCCGACGCTAACGCCGACGCCGGGGTATAGCATAAGCTCATCTCGACTTCGTCGACGTGAGCTAAAAAATAAAGGCTTAAATAGTACATGCAGGATCATATGATCCTGTCCACAAGTTTCGATGAACTAATTAAAGTAGATGTTTACATTCAGTTGAAGTTACCCCAACATATGTACACATTTTTTTAAATCAAGAACACAGTCAATGTCAGCTATTTAACATAGAGAAATAAAATTGTTTATCTAGATGCACCCTCTTTCTTCTCTTATGCAGATTTTCCTTATATATATGCATACAAGTTATTAATCCTAAAACACTTTTTGACCCGAGAACAGCTGCAAGATAATTTTCAATAGGTTGCTTCCCCTTATGTGCATGTGCTCCTTTTCATGAAGTTTCTTTACTTAAATTTCTCAAGATTTTTCAGATTAATTTTTTGGTTAACAAATAGTACTGTGTCATACAAAACTCACAACTCCTCTCATATTTTACCTTATCTTCCTTTTGTTAACAAAATCCACTTTTCCAACATCTCTCTCTACAGTGAGTCTATCATTTAGTCATTAACTTGTCTTGCTCCAATACAAAAGTTTTCCTACACAACAGGTATATAAAAAAATAACAATCATCAATGTAAGTTGATATGATAATATTAAATGTACATAATTTATTGAAAAAAATGATTCTAACCTGGACAACTTTTAGCTTGGTTGGTTTTGTTATCATCTCTGTTGGCATAATGTAATCTGAACTTTCTAATTTACTCTTCTATCAAGTGGCTATAGTTGCTTGACACATACATATTTTTTATCCATTTCCTGAAAAAATAAAATTCTAATTTACTATGTGTATTAAAATGTTATTCCTTTTAAAAAGAAACTTACACTAGTGATTCAGGGGACCTAGGTTCAAATCCTGGTTTGGTCCATCCCATATTTATTTGGTGCCATTGATCACCCCTTGACTTGCAGGTAAAAGGCTTGCCAGGGGTAAGAAGAACTTGAGTTGTGTCTTCAAGGGCAAATACAATTTAAGGAGGGAGGAACATGGCGATCACGCAGGCTTGATCACCATTGCCAGATCACTCAGTTAATAAACATGCTAAAGCACCTGATTAGTGATTCAGAGGGCTGGGTTCAAATCCTGTTCTTGCTTATTGCATTTTCCTATTACACACCTAATGTCAATGGCAGAGAAATTCAAGAACTTTCCTGTCATTTATAAACAAATATTTTGGTGACTACTTGTTGAGTTCAGCTATATGGTACATGTTAAATTTAACTTTTTACCTCAAAAGCTAAGAACATACAAATTACAGTTTTCTAAGAGACTGTAGGCAATCTGGATACATTTCCTTTGTCCGACATGGAAATAAACTCCCATATTCATGACAGGTTTTCTTAATTTTTCATTGAAAATAACAGCCTAAAATATGATTTTTTTAATCTTGTTTACCTGAGAGTTATGCTCCAATACACCTTATTTGACCAAGTTATAGTCATTAAAGGAATCTATTTCTCAAATTAAAGAAATTGTAGGCTCCTTTCATTTACTAATTCTTGACTTTAATTAAGAAAAAACTGCAACAAATATGTTTCAAAAATTGACAGAAAAAGCGACATCGGCCATACGTATGGAACAGCGTCCAATCATAAAATTATGTATTATCTAAAATATGGTTGAAACGATGTCAGAGACAAACTAATTATTCAAACATCTAAAAATTATTAGAATATATTTAGGTCATTGAGTTGAAATTGGTATATAATATATGATTTTTCAAAGGAGAGTACAATTTCAAAGACAGTACAAAAAATGGAAAACTACTGTTACTGTTATTTGATGAAAATAGCATAGCTCTATTCATGACATGATTGTATGATAGTGTTGTACTTTGCATGCACTATGCCTATATACACTACGGTCAACGCGGATCCCGTATTTTCCCGCGCCCCCGCGATGGTGTTTTAATCCTTTCCGCGATACACCGTCGCGGTTTTATCATCGCGGTGATCGCGGGGACACGAGATTACCGTGACGGTGTGCTCTACCGTATTTTACTCAATGTGAAGTCGATAATCCTTAATGTCAAAGTAAGGATATTAAATTGTGAATATATAAGATCGTTTTTTTAAAAATGTGACTTAAACTTGTTAAAGTCATAGATGGCATATTTTTGACAAGTTCTGGTTTACTAAAATTAAAAAGGTCTTTCTATTTGTTTTATTACCTTATATAAAGATAGGACTTTTCTGTAAATTACACAATTTAAATCAATCGCGTTTTATAGATATTAGAAATTTAAAACAATAACTGATTTATTTTATACCGACTCCACATTTAAATATCAGACACAGTTTAAAGTCAATTTTACTATAGAAGCATGGGGTTATTCAAGTTCAAAATCGGCGAAAATTTTAATTTGAACGTAAATAACAAATATCATGTTCATCTACACTCAATCACGTATTTTTATTTTTTAAGTCAGATACGCCATATATAGCTTTAAAATTCTAGAAATAATTTATAAAATCTTTTTTTTTTCAGTCTAAAGGGTGATATTTGAATGATACTTGGCATTTATTCTATCAAAATATTATCATTGTTCTAGTTTCTAATGAGTAATAACCTGAATGATATTGTGGAGATCTATAACTCAACATAATTTTTTTTTATTGTAGTATATATCGATTCGATTTATGTTACGCCCTTTTTTCATCATAACAGTTTTTTCATTCAGTATTACGACAGTGGTTTTTTTTTCGAATTGAAAATTGCAATTTATATATAACTGGAAAAAAAAATTAAAACACATATTTTCACGCCAAAATACCTCTTCCAACATATATTCAAATATTATTTACATTAATCCCGAATATTTGAATTAACGATATTGATCACCACCTCATTTGTTAGACTTGTGGGCCTGAATGAAAAAATGGATAACAGCTCTGTTCATCATTCTAAATGAAGTCGACAATAGTCATTTTTATAAAGCTAAAAGAATTAAATGGTTGCGTTCTCAGCTGATAATTAAGCAGAGAAGTCATGAACTAAATAAGCTGAAACTGACCAAACACGTGTACATGTATTACACAATCACAGCGTGTGCAGTGGGGCGTAGCTAATCCTATCGGTCGCCCACAATAAGACTATGGGTTCTCGGAAAATTCACGGGATGATCAAGCCCTTTTACGATAACCGTGTTTTCAAGCCGTAAAAACTGCATGTATTACATGACCATATTTCAGTAGCCGGTCTTGACACCTTGATCACCCATCATACATGTACTGTAGGTTATATCAACTGATCAAACGCAATCCTGAAATCACAAAAATATCGTTATACCCTTATCATGCTTATAAAGAATTTTAAAAAAATAACAATAAATGTCTTCTTTTTTATAGGTCGGCGATTTTGAAAAACTTGGGACTGTTAGAGTAATTATTGAAACCAAAGAGAAAGGTTTCACAAAACAGAAACTTTAAAATCATTTAAGGGAGTGGGTGTTAAATTACACACTGTAATTTTGGGTAGAGAAACATGAGGATTAGTTTGTGTGTGTGTGTGTGGGGGGGGGGGGTTAAGAATAAAAATATAAAATAAACGGCGAGGGACATTTCAGGAAACTTGTCTGTATGTATATGTTTACACTACACTGTATATATTTATTTAATCAACACACTTGATGAATGCCCAAAATATACATAGCATATCTTTATAAAATAATCAATAAATATGAACAGTACGTCTCATTAACCCCCCCCCCCCCCCCCCGCTTTTGACCTTATACGAAGCAGATTCCTATTCAATATGAATGCAAAATTTTGCATGTCCAGGTATACAATACAGGTAAATCACAACTTTAAGAGATCTAATCTATTGTTGTGGAGACGTATGTGTATATCTATTACATAACACTTCCTGTCTGTGTCAGTGCCAAGGTTCTGACTGTGCGTACTACAAACTCGAACCTAGCCCGGGGACACATAGAACCTTCTATTCCAATTGTATTTTATCAGTGTAAAGTAAATTAAATTTCAAAATCGAATGTTGCATATTTGCGTATTTGCACATGCTGTAACATCCTCTGAGCTATTAATAACGTTTTTTGCCTGTAATTGAAGGTAAATAAATTAAAAAAAAAAAACAACGTAAATTCAGGAAGGGGTATCACATGCATGAAGATGAGTGATGCCCAGAGCATGGGAAGTCAGTCACTAGGTTAACCGTCATTAGAAAACAATCAACGAATGAAAAACTAACTTTGAATCAGTTTTCAACTTTTGAATTATCAGTTGATTATGGACCGAAAATTAATCCAATTTTTAAATCAAAATAGGGTGAAGCTTGCTATTTACGAATAAACATGTATCTAAAGTTAAAGTTTGAATGATAATATCTATAGACAGGATATATATATTTTTTTAAATCATATTTTACGCCCGAATCATATTTTGTTTGTAATACCTGGATAAATACCATACAAAGCACACTAGATTGGAAGTCATGAAAAAGAGTCTAGTATTATAAAACATGTTGTACGTTCATGCGTACTTCCTCAAGTTTAAAATTTTCAAGGAAACTTGAATTATTAATAAGGAATACAGAAAAAAATATCTATTCCTTTGAAGATTTTATTCTGAGCGCCTTTTTTTTTAAATATTGCGACTATTTTACTTATTTAAAATGGTTAAATGACGGAAAAGTTGTTTTCAATTGACAATTAAATCATTGAGTTATCGGATGATCAATAACTGTGATCTACAAAATTAATGCATATGTATAATTACGAATAAGTTAAGAACAATAAATGAACACACTATATATATCTAGTTGTTTCCATATCATGCATTCTTTTTTTCCTTTTCTTTTCTTTCTTTTTTTTCATTTTTGAAAGAGGTGTGAAATATCAAGTAAAAAGATAAATTAATCAAATATAAAAAGGGAGACCTAAATAACTGCTAAGACTAGTTTTATCCTTTTAATTTTTTTTTTACTTCTATTCATTCTTCTTCTGTTGTGTTTTTTCCGTCGGGGGAGGTAACTCGCGTTCATGAAGAGAATAATTTTTTACCTGAGACGGATAACACAAACCGCGATGGTGTGGATTAGTTGAGGACCCGTACCGCGAGAACACGCGGTTTTACCTGAGTTACCTGTGTTAAACCGCGATCAATTTCACACCGCGAGGACTCGCGGTAAATACGGAAACCGCGTTGACTGTAGTGTAGTAGTCAGGCATAGTGCATGCAAGGTACAACACTACTGTTATTATTATGCTGACTGTTGTATAAAAATGACAATATTATCTCCATTTCCAATGTTTCATCACCTCTTACATTCATATTAGTACACCCCTATTATGATGTCACGTTGTGCTACATGTACATCATAATCTTTTTTCTTTAATTTTGAATGTTCCATGTACAGATACATGTAGTTTCAGAGAATTTTAGTTGAGTGAAGGGGAAAAAATTGCAAGAAACTATTTTAGAAAATTATTTTATTTTTTTTAAGTGTAAAATATTTGAAACTAAGTTTATATAAATTATAATACAGTGCTTTAGATAATGGCGTCTGTGGTGTAATCGGTAGCGAGTCAGACTGACGATTTCGGGTTTGTGAGTTCGATCCACGGCGTGGGCGCTGTTGGATTTTTTTTCAGAAAAAGAAGCCATGCACTAGCTATTTTGGCATAGTATGCTTACGATATATAATTCCTTAGAACACTATGCGAAAATAGTTGGGTATTGATTACACAGAGACAAACTGACAGGAAGCATAATATGTAATAAATAAAACGCAACATCAGAC